GAACCGGCACAGCACGGCACGCCTCGCATAGACCTCCAGAAATTCGACCGAGGTTGCCGCGCCGTTGTGAGGCTTGCGGGCTGCTTTGTTGTGTGTGGTCTCGTCCTGCGCCTTTGCTTCATTTGACTCTGAACCGGCTTGCGCATGATCGGCCCGAGCCTATTTTGAGGGGGAGGGGAGCGAGCGAGCGAGGTCGGAGACCCCACCCATGCATCGCGAAAGAGCTGTGCTAAAAGAGTTTAGAAATCGAGCCGCGAAAAGGAACAGAAAATCAACCCAGCTCGACCTCGTTGCAGAACCACTTTTTGCAACTAGCAAAGCCGCAAAGCGACTCGACCGATGTCTGTGATGGCAGCTGATTCGCATCGACTAGCCACGCGACAAACGATTTCAAGCTCGTAGCGCCCAGACTTGGCCAGAAGAGCCGAGTGCGCCGTTGGCGAGGCTGTGTTGTTCCTACAACTTGTCCAGCTTTCCGAGTGGGCTAGACCGCAAACACGATCCAAAGAACTGCTTGACGCAGAGGCAAACGGCGCATCGTCAACTGATGAGTGGCGCTCAGTTCTCTGCAAAAACCTTGCGATCGTCTCAGCCCTTGCAGCCATCTTACCACGAGCCACGATTTACTTCTTGCGACCGCGAGCACAACGAGGATCAAGGAGGATATCGGATTCATCCGTAACAACAAGACTGTGAGCCGAGACAAGGTTGAATGCATGCATATGATCACGAGACGAGCGTCAAGCTACCAAAGAGAACGATGAGCTTCTGGCGGCTCAGAAATCGTGGCGGTCTGCGAGAGGGTCGCGGATGCGGCTGGAGCGGTTGGCTGCACCAGTGTCTGCGGTGCGCGAGTTGTCGTCAAAGCTGTAATTGTCCGAGCCGTACGACTGCTGCGACGGGTGGCCGAGCGCATCGGCCTCTCGAGCCCAGCGGTCCTTCTTCTTGTTCTTGGCCGAGTTGGAGCGGCCCCACTTGCTGCCGCCGCTCGACTCCTTTGCATCATTGGCATAGCTGAGCGAGCTTCTGGACGAGGCCTCGGTGCCGATGCCGTAGCGCTCGGCGTAGCGGCTTCCGAGGCTGCGTCGGGAGCTGCTGCGCGACAGCGAGCCTCCACCACCGGCGCCGCCATCGATCAGAGCACCCGTGATGGGGTCGCGAGTCACGTTGCCCGGTCGACCGGCGTTCTGCCTCCTCTCCTCTGCGTACGGGTCGGTTGGATCCTCGCGCTCGGCGCGCGGGCTGTCGTCCACATTGTCCGCCCAAGGCGCCAGGAAGTGGCTGCCGGAACGCACGTTGCCCGTCTTTCGAGCTGACTCGGGGTCGCGGCGCGTCTCGCCCGTGATGGGGTCCACGATGACCTCCTGATTCTTCCACTGCGTCGCACCGTCGCCGTATCGGTCGGACCAGCCGTTGGCGGTGCGCTTGACGCGGTAGTCCTTGACGAGTCCGTACCGAATGGCCCACGAGGGCGAGTGGCGTGCGTTCTTGTTGTTTCGAATGTTCTGGATCCAGAAGTTGTGCGCGTGGCCCGGGATGTAGCCGCAGATTGTGCAGATGATGTTGATCACCAGATCCAGACCCACGCCGAAGCGGATGAGCACGGCAAGCGGAGGCAGCAGCCAACCGCACACCATGATCACACCATGAAAGGCGTGGTGCTTCCTGATCGGACCTTTGCCTTTAGCCATCGTTCCGAAGTGCGCAGTCGAGTGGTTGCGACAGAAGCACTTTGCGATGTAGATGAAGGTGGGGAAGGGGGGCCGTAGGGTCAAGGTCGACGCGGACAGGGTCGAGAGCGCGGCCGGTCAACTGGGCCAAATCCAACTGCGGAGCGGCAGCGTTCAAATAAAGCCTGGGCTGGATCCAGACCCCAACGCCGCGCGGGCCGAGGCGAGATGCCCAACTCTCGCGCTCAACTTCTGTTGGGAAGACAGGGTCTCAGCCACGAGCCAGACGCGCGCATCCGGACATCGAGCGGGTGGCACAGCCTGCATCAAGGTTGTAGAATGTTAGGCCATGACTTTATAGATCTCACATTTATAAATTTGTGTTCCGGACCGACGATGCAAAGCTGGCAGAGGATCACGTCAAATGGCGAGCAGGTCCGGATGTCCGTGCAGAGTGGAGGAGGCGTAGCCGCACAGTCGCTGCAGTCTGGTGAAGGCTTCGATATCTTCCTCACCCTCTTCCCTCATCCACAACCGCTTTATCGTTTGATCACCGACCATGGCGCTTCCCCCTTCGCTGCAGGCCCTCTCGATCGGGTCGCTCACCGCGCCCAACACGCTCGAGCTGTTCGTCGACTATCTCTGCCCCTTCTCGGCCAAGCAGATCAAGGGCGTGCACGACTATCTGCTTCCGCTCGTTGTGGGCGATTCGGCGCAGTACAAGGATCAGGTGCGCATCGTCGTTCGTCCTTACCCGCAGCCATGGCACTCGAGCTCGACGCTGCTTCATGAGTCGGCGCTTGCCGTCGCCAAGATCGCGCTCACCGATCCGGCTACCACTTCGAAGCCCGACCGTAACGCTTTCTGGCTCTACTCGCTCGAGCTCATGAAGGAACAGGGTCGATTCTTCGACGGCCCTGCACGTGGAAAGGCTCCCGATCAGATTCGCGGAGAGCTGGCTACGCTTGCAATCGAGACCGTCGGAGAGGCACCGAAGAAGCGCAAGCAGGACGCAATCCACCGAGATCTCCAGGGAACCCCCCTCGGCCAGTCCATCAAGAACCTTATCCGCGTGGAGAAGGAGGGCAACGGCGGAAGTGCCGTCGTTCCCGAACTCAAGTACTGCGTAAGTGACAGTCCCGCTTCGATAAGATCGATCACGTGCTGATTCTGGATCTCTGACTCGCCGGCATCTACAGGTCAAGCTCGGCCGTCAGAACGGTATCCACGTCACACCAACCTGCCGTAAGTATCTGACGCATGAATGTGGTAAATTGGGCGGGCTCACTGCTGACCTTCGCTTTGCCTCGACACATCTCGCTGCTCTGCCTCGACACATCTCGCTGCAGTCTGGAACGGTCTCGTGGAAGGCAGCATCTCGTCGTCCTTCGACGAAGCCGCGTGGAAGGAGTTTCTCGCGAAGCAGCTCAGCTAAGCGCTGGTCCTGACACGACATTGTAGCCATGCTAGCTCCTCGAGCGTTCTGCGACCCTGATCATCTTGAAAGCCAGTCGTCTCAGCGAGATGATCCGAGTCAGAGTGTCATTGTAGTAAGGAAGCAGATGAAGATTGTGAGGTAGGAAGATGGAGCAATGAAACGGCAGCGAGCCGAGGCATGGTCCGAGTCGAAGTCTAGAAGTCGAATCTCTAGCGCTGAGCTCGGGCAGGGGCGGCAGGGGCGGCGGGCTTCTTGCCTGGAAGATCGCGCTCCTCGATGAAGAAGAGGGCGAGGAAGGCAAAGAAGCCTGCGGCGGCGATGGCGATGAAGACGGTGTGCATCGACTGCTCGTACGCACCGATGGCAGCCTGGCGCAGCGGCTTGCTGAGCTCCTTGATCGCACCTGCGTCCTGGCGGATGAGCTGGATGACCTTGCGCGGGATGTCGGTCTTTTCCAGGTTCTTCTGCAGGCTGTTCTGCAGGATGGCGCTCGAGAGCGAGATACCCAGCACCGAACCAGTCGCACGGAAGAGGTACGTCACACCCGTAGCCGCCGCCATGTCCTTGGGGTCAACCGAGGCGATCAGAGCCACAAGCGTGATGGTGAGGATCGAACCGTACGCCGCACCACCAAAGGGCATGGTGGCCCAGTAGAACACCTCCGAGGTGCCACGGTGCCAGAAGCACATCATGAGCGGGCCGAGGAAGCCAAACAGACCGCCGAGCAGCAGCATCTTGCGGTATCGACCCGTGCGCGCCATAATAAGACCACTGCCGAGACTGCAGCTCGAAGCAATGATGGCGTTGGGAATGAGGTGAAGACCTGCATAAGACGACGCCGTCTGCTCGACCGACTGGAAGTACGTTGGCACGTTGAAGATGATGCCGAACTGCGACATGGTGATGAACCAGCACGCGATGGCGACAAAGCCAGGCGTGCGGTTGAACAGCACCGACATGGGCATCAGCGGCTCGCGGGCCACGTAGCGTTCGATCAGCACAAACAGCACCAACACCGCACCACCACCGATGAGCGAGCCAAGCACAAGCTTGTCAGTCCACTCGCGCTCGTTGCCGCCCAGGCTGAGACCCACGAGGATCAGCGTGACCGAAGTGACGAGCGAGAGCGATCCGAGTGCGTCGATGCGCTTGATCTTCTCGATCATGCTGCCGGGACCGGCTGGGATGTCGATCTTCCACGAGACCACGGCAAAGTGCACGGCACACAGAGGTACCTGCACGAGGAACGCCCACCTCCATCCGAGACCGCCGTCAGCGAGCGCACCGCCGAGCGGTCCTCCAAGTGCAGCGCCCGTGGCATAAACAAGATTGCCCAGCCCTTGCCAGGTACCACGAGCCTTGAGGCTCACCAGATCGCTCGTGACGAGCGTGGCCATGGTGGTTAGACCGCCACCACCGATACCGGCGATAGCACGTGCGGCACACAGCTGCCAGAAGGTCTGGCTGAGACCGCAGAGGAGCGAGCCGATGAGGAAGATGACCGAGGCGAAGAGAGTCGCAGCCTTGCGACCAAAGATGTCCGAGGCACGGCCGTAGAGCGGCTGGAAGGCGGTCTGGGTGAGCAGATAGCTGGTTCCGAGCCAGCCGACCTCCTTGCTCACACGGAACTCGGAGCCGACCGAGTTCATGATGGTGGCTACGATGGTGCCGTCGAGCGCGGCGAGGAAGCTGCCGATCCACATGGCGCCCATGATGACCCAGATGTCGGCGCGAAGGGGAGGCTCTTCGGGCTCCTCGGCGATGGCACCTCCAATACCGGACACGGAAAAGTGGCTCTGGTCGAGCGGTACGAAGGCGGATGAGTTGGGATCAACGCCGTGTGCGGCGCCCTGGATGGCGCTGAAGGCCGACTCCTGTGCGATAGCATCCTCCTCCTCGGCGGTGAGGTCGGGGCGACCGATACTGGCGGCGAAGCTTGGACGGTGGCGCGAGACAGATGGCTGTCGCTGCTGCGTGCCCAGCAGAGGCGTGCGCTCGGATTGAGTGGGCGCCATGGTGAGACAGGCGGCGCTGGTGTTGGCGGGTAGTTAGTGGTTGAGAGGCAGAGTGATGTCGCCTGTCTTGGGTCAAAGGATACGGACACGAGAATCGGCTCACGAGGAGACGCTATGATCTGCAAACACGAAACGACCGCGGGCCAACCCGGCACAAAAAACTTCTAAAGCAGGCGTACAAGGCGGCCTACCGTGGCATTGCAGGCTGCATCACAGGAACGAGCCCAACTAGAGAGACGACCAGCAGGAGTTCATGCTGTTGCAAGAGCCAGAGAGGCTGCGCGATAAGGCCACCAAGCGAGTACAAAATGGCAGCTCTGCCAAATATCTTTTTTCATTACGGGGTTTTCAAAGTTTCGGCTGCTCGTCGGAGTGTGACGACTGCAAATCCAGGCGGACTGCGTAGCGAGCTCAAGCCACCCTTGTCATTGTTGAAGCTTCGAGGCGTGGCGAGGCGTGGGGCAGCGATACGACAGAAGCCATTTCCGAACGAACCGTGCAGCCATACAGCTGGGCATATGCACGGACACGAGGCCAAGGACGGCAGGAGCAACCAATGACAGGCGCTCTGCACGCTCTCGACAAGTCTCAGCGATAAGAGTGCAGCGTGCATCCGAGCCTCGCCCGCACCCGCCCACACGTCAGGCACCCGCTGCTTTTTCCCACAGCGGCAACATCCGATGCACGGACGCACTCCAAGTCGCCGCTACACGCGATAGAATCGAGATCTTGCTGAATCGGGAGGAGAAGATCGGTATTGTACCCGATGGATCTCGAAACTCCACACGAGGGTTCTGACGGTACACGTCCGCCACACGGGACAGAGCGCGGCAATGCAGATCAGCAGATGGACGGGTTTTTTCGCCGGTGTTCGGTGATGATGCCATCGGATGATGCAAGGGTGCGGAAATACGCAGCTGTCCTTCTTCTCGCCTATCCCCGGGCAGGCTAGGAAGAAGCGAGCACGGTGGATCGGTCAGCGACCAAGTGAGATGCGCCAGTGCGATATATAAACAATACCACCGAAGATCATTGACTCTCTCTACTTCCAAACCAATCGAAAACAAAGCAGAAGATTCACATCATGAGTGGCACACACAAGTTCTACGCACTGCCCGAGACCTCGGCTCGCAATGGCTTCGAGTCGCTCAGCATCAAGGAAGGTGCGATCCCCAAGCCGGAGCCCAACGAGGTGCTGATCAAGGTGCACGCCGTCTCGCTCAACTACCGCGACCTGATCATCGCGAAGAACGGCTACCCGCTCGAGCTCAAGCACGACGAGCTGATTCCTACCTCGGACGGTGCTGGCGAGGTCGTCTCCGTGGGCAGCAAGGTGTCCAAGTGGAAGCAGGGCGACCGAGTCATGGGCATCTTCACCCAAGCCCACCAGAGCGGCTCGACTCCGTCCAAGGAGGAAGTCAAGACTGCGCTCGGTGGTGCCCTGAACGGCATGCTGGCGCAGTACGTTGCACTGCCGGACACCGGCGTGGTTCGTGTTCCGTCGCACCTCTCGTACGAGGAGGCTGCCACGCTGCCGTGTGCCGCGCTGACTGCATACAATGCGCTGTACGGTATCCCGAGCCAGCAGCTGCGTGCGGGCGACACTGTCGTGGCTCAGGGCACGGGCGGCGTGAGTGTGTTTGCACTCCAGCTCGCCGTGGCAGCTGGCGCCAAGGTGGTCATCACCTCGTCGTCGGACGACAAGCTCAACAAGGCAGTCGAGCTGATCCCGCAGGGTCTGCGTCACCTCGTCACCACGGTCAACTACAAGACCAACCCGGACTGGGACAAGGTGGTTCTTGACGTAACCAAGGGCAACGGCGCCGACCATGTGGTCGAGGTGGGTGGCGCCGGTACGCTCGAGAAGGCGTTTGCGTCGATCAAGCGCGGCGGTGTGATTTCGACCATCGGCTTCGTGGCGCAGGGTGAGGCGCCCAACGTGGCCCTCCTCGCCCTTTCCACGGGCGCCTTCTTCAAGGGCATCCTCGTCGGCTCGCGCGAGCAGTTTGAGCACATGAACCAGATCATCGAGGACCACAGCATCAAGCCGCTCGTCGACAAGGTGTTCCCCTTCGAACAGGCGCAGGAGGCGTACGCGTACCAGTGGAGCCAGGCCCACGTCGGCAAGGTCGTCATCCGTGTCGCTTAGAAGATAGACTAGTCGAAGTTCGTCCCCCAATACAACCTTATGCTCACTCTGAGGCTGGCGGATGTCGCCAATGTGTGCGTCTGATAAGCGTAGGCGATCGTACGGGCTGGCACGCTCGACTGAGCTGGAGTGAAACCGCGAAAGCAGAGACGGCGAGTTCGGATCGGATTGTCTGAATTGCATTCCCGTCAACTACTGAGAAGAGTGAGAGGTGTCTGCCTTGGGCGCTACGATGTCGCCCTGCTTTTGCTCGGGCGCCGAGGACTGGGCGGACTGCTGTTTGAGCTGCTCGTCATGTGCGGTGTTCTTCTTAATATTCTCAGCGTTCTGAGCATACTTTCTGCAGCGAGGTGTGACCAGAAGCAAGCGTGGTAAGCTCTAACGCTGTCCGCGGCCAACATCGACAGTCGGGACGGCTGCAAACACTCACCCTTTCAGGAAGGCGGTCTCCTTCTGCACGGCATCAAAGTTGACCGTGCCGTCTGGGTTCTTGAGAATGTGCACCATGGTGAAATGTAGTCGGATGGCGAGAAGGATGGAAGTGGGAGGCAAGGCTCGAGACGTCGACCCGAGAGTCGATTAAGACCAAGCTCAGTGGAGACCATCAAAGTAACCGGCGGCCTATGCAGGTCGAGGGCAGCAGCAGCGTCACGGCGCAGCGTTAGGCTCGTTGCAAAGGTGTTAGACTCAGCCTAGCCACCGGTCAGAGGTTTGGAGCTGTGCAACACAGGAGGCTCAGCCTGTCGGGAGCCGGTCTGGAGAGCGCAACGGGGGCTCGAGCGCGTAACTCAGCCATCCAATCTCGCGCTCGCCCCCGCGCTAGCTCGAGGGCAAAAGCCAAGCGAGGACGGACACCTCTGCTCCGTGCGTAGCTCAGCCATACGATAGCTCAGCCACACCCAGGCAGGGCAGCCGGCCTCCACAGAAGGAGTCGAAAATCGAGGCGAAATTTCAGAGTTGGACGTTGCAAGGCGCTGTCTGATGACCGCACTTTTTCCGGATTGGTCTCTGGACTGGGACTTTGAATTAGATTTATCGCATTTTCCAATGCAACTGGTCGAGAGCCCTGCCTCTCCCGTTCTGAGACGCGCGCTCGCTTACCGATTTCAGGGCCCATCCCCACCTCGCACAGATCGACGGCTGCTCTCTGCCTTGCCCTGCCCTGCCCTGCACTGCCCTGCCTTGCCCAGCCCGGCCCCTTAATCGCGCGGGTCCCACTGCTCTCTCCGTCCGCTCCTCTCCACCACTTCCATTGTCTTTGACTTGCTTCAGCTGCTTATATCTGGTGCACAAGTCGACAAAGACAGCTCTCACTCACTCCACAACATACACCCTCCCCCCTGGCTCGCGAGCACCATCATGCGATCCTCCTGGCTCTCCACCGCCTCAGCCGTGCTCGTGTGCGCTGCTGCGCTCGCCAACTCGGCCAAGCTCCCCGCCCCCGTCGAGCAGATCCACTACGACCAGTCGGGCAACCTCGTCTGGAACGAAGATGCCGACGCTTCTCCCGCCGTCCCTTCGCTCGGCCGTCCCGACTTTTCCGGCCTCAGCCTCAGCGACATCGCTGCTGCCGCTGCTCCCGCCAAGCAGGCCGCCCAGGACGTCTACGCCGACTCGATGAAGTACGCCGACGACGTTCTCTCCTGGGCCGAGCACGAGATCGAGCGCATCGAGGACAAGGTCCAGGAGGCGGTCGCCGGCACCCACAAGGAGATCAAGGACTGGATCCACACCGGCAAGGTCCTGGTCGATGGCCTCGAGTTCGAGCGCCTCACCCACCCCGCCTTCCCCGAGTACTCCCTCCGCCTCAACGCCAAGTCCGAGTCCTTCTGCGACCAGGACGTCGTCCAGCACAGCGGCTACCTCGACATCTCGGACTCCAAGCACCTCTGGTTCATCTTCTTCGAGTCGCGCAGCAAGCCCAAGTCCGACCCCGTCGTCCTCTGGCTCAACGGCGGCCCCGGCTGCTCCTCCTCCACCGGCCTCCTCTTCGAGCTCGGCCCCTGCCGCGTCACCGACGAGGGCCGCGCCGTCAAGAACAACCCGCACTCGTGGAACAACAACGCAAACCTCCTCTTCCTCGACCAGCCCGTCGACGTCGGTTACTCCTACTCGGACAACGACTCGGTCAACAACTCGCCCGCTGCTGCCGAGGACGTCTACGCCTTCCTCCAGCTCTTCTTCACCAAGTTCCCCGAGTACTCCAAGCTCCCCTTCACCGCCTCGGGCGAGTCTTACGCAGGCACCTACCTGCCCAACATCGCCTCCACCATCTACAAGAAGAACAACAACCTTGCCCTCTCCCGCTACGCCAACCCCGAGCTCGCTCCCAAGCACATCAACCTCGACACCGTCATGATCGGCAACGGCCTCAGCTCGCCCCAGTACCAGTTCCCCTCCGTCCCCACCTACGCCTGCGGCGCCGAGAACAAGTATGCGCTCTTCGACCCTTCCAGCTCCACCTGCGCCACGCTCGAGCAGCAGGCCACCACGTGCAAGTCGCTCATCGAGTCGTGCCAGAAGTACAACTCGCGCCTCACCTGCACCCCCGCCGCGCTCTACTGCTGGAGCCGCCTCTACGGCCCCGCACAGGAGACCGGCAGGAACCTGTACGACGTGCGCAAGAAGTGCGACCGCGAGAAGGACGGCCCGCTCTGCTACAAGGACATGGAGTACATCGAGACGCTCCTCAACACGCCCAGCATCAAGAAGAACCTCGGCGTGCCCGAGTCCGTGACCTTCCAGTCGTGCAACATGAACATTAACCAGGCCTTCCTCCTCCAGGGCGACTCGATGCACGACTCGGCCGCCCTCCTGCCCGAGCTCATCGAGGACGGCATCCGCGTCCTCATCTACGCCGGCGAGGCCGACTTCATGTGCAACTACATGGGCAACCTCGAGTGGATGCAGAACCTCCAGACCAGCTACCTCGACGACTTTAACAACGGCACTGCCCAGGACTGGATCGTCAACGGCAAGAAGGCCGGCTCCGTACGCAAGGGCGGCAAGGGCGCCGGCTCCGTCGCCTTTGTCAGGGTTGCAGAGGCCGGTCACATGGTCCCCTACGACCAGCCCGAGAACGCGCTGGACATGATCAACAAGTGGCTCGCCAACAAGCCTCTTGCTTGATCACCTCCTCGTCTTTGACGGAGCGATCCGTGGTTCAAAGCTGTAGATTCGCACTTGCATAGCTGGGAGATGAATGACAACGCCAATATTTGAATGAGATCGATCAAGCGTGAGGCTCAGAATCAGTCGTGGACCGAGGCTGGAGCGCAAGTCGCAGACCAAGACGGAAGGCAAGACAAGCTTGCAATTGCGAACGGAGAAAGGCATGTCGAGCGACATGTCGACAGGCGTGCTTGTGAGAGGTGAGGAAAACAGAAAGCCGATGCTGGAACGTTTGAGGTGCGATGCATTCACCACGGGATGAGGAGATGCAATTGCCCACGGCGTACTTCGGCAATGGCGACACTGCTGAACTTCGTCAGCAAGATCATCGTGAACGAGATCCTTCGCACGTATCCGGACACCGACCACAAGCCTATGACGATCGTCATAACGATGGTCATAGTCCTGTGGTCAGTGTTGGGATAGGTGCGAGATATCTCGCCGACGATGATCTTGCCGACGAAGCACAGCGGGTCGTTATTCTGGATGTCCGGGATCTTGCTCACGAAGTCACGAGGGGTATTGACGTCGTCCTTGTTGATGTTGGTGTTGGACAGGAAGAAGGTCTCGGTGTTTTCGTAATCCGAAGCAGCAGCCCAACGGGCGTCCGTACAGTGTGAAGCAAGGCTTACCGAGACCGAAGAAGGCGATGAGCCATCGCAGCTGGTCGAGCTTGCAACGCGAGATCAAATGCTGGTCAGAACAAGAGCGGTCCGATCGGAAGGGCAGCCTGGCAATAAGAGGTGATTGAGGGAGCGGTGGGCAACGAGAGTGGTTCTGGCGGGTCGAGATCAAACGCAATGTTCAGATGGGGCCTTTTTATGCTTGTGAAGCTCGCAGGACGACCTTCGACGCCTGCCTCGACATCAGAGCTCCACTGTACAGGACTCAGCGCTACCGCTCGAAGTGCTCCGATGCGCTGCTCTGGGCTGAGTGCACTTCGTCGCTGAGCGTCGCTCAATTTCGGTTCGCGTGCTTCGCACCCGCACGCAAGGGCGAAATCGCTCTGCGCAAATGACCAGAATCAAATCCAATCAGCCTCCAGGTGCCGTGTCTGCAGCGGTTCCGGCTCATTGAATAAGCGCGCAATGAGAAGCGGAAGAACAAACTTTGACTTCTATGCAAGGCAGAAGGTCTCGACACGGGCCGCGGTGACGGAACGGAATGAAGCGGCTTACGCGGCGATTTTCATCGACCCGCATACTTGTTACCCTGAAGGTTTTGCTCATCCCAATAGAACGGCTCAATAAGCTCTGGTTCACACGTTTGCGAGCCTATCGACAGAAACACAGGTCGGAAAGTCACATTGATTGCAAAAGGCGACGGGCACGTCGGACCCCACGAGCATCCCGGCGCAAGAGTCATGCCTATCGAGCGCGTCTGCATGCGTTGATGTGAAAGGAGGGGGGGGGGGGG